AAAAAAAAAAGAAGAAGGAGGAAAAAACGAGGGAGTAGCAAGAGAAGCAAAAGCCTGACAGACAGAAGAAAGAAAGGAAATGCTCCAAGGAATACAATCCTATGACCCTTTGGGGGAATCTGTGAGGCTGAAGGAAAAGCTGTGAGAGTCAGACCAAGTAAGAGGTAAGCTTGGCTAAGCCAAGGTCTGGAGACCAGGCAGGCTGTGCTCAGGAGTTTAGACATCATTCTGGAGGTGACAAAGAGTCATTGAATGGTTCAAAGTAAAGGAGTAATGTTATAAGGCTTGCATTTGAGGAAATTATTCTGTAGAGTTCTGGCCAATGGTTTGTGTGGCAGGTGACCTTGATGGACGAAGGAAAACCAGTTAGGAGGTGGTTTCAGTAGCCTGGGTAGGAAGTGGAAAAGGTATAAAGGGAAAAGGAAAAAAGATGCAGCAAATGGGTGGTGCCTGTGGCTCAAAGGAGTAGGGTGCTGGCCCCATATGCTGGAGGTGGCGGGTTCAAACCCAGCCCTGGCCACACACACACACACACACACACACACACACACAAAAGATGCAGAAAATAGGAGAGATTTTTAACAAAACAAAACATAGGCCCTAGTAGCTGGGACTACAGGTGTCACTGTTTGACTGCTGGGGAGGTGGTGACAGGAAGGGATCAAGGGCAGCAGGTGCAGGTGGGTGGTGGAAGGTGGTGCCAGCCAACAGGACTAAAGCTGGGGGAGGAAGAGGTCACCCTGAGAGTGGGTATCCTGCGTGTTCCTCACTCTTACTCTTGCTTTTCCACTGTCTTAATGAAGGTTTCTTAAGAAATCTTAAGACATGGGAATCAGTCAATTCACCAACATAATTTGCACAGCTCCCAGTAATGTTCTGGAAACACAGAATGATGTGGGAAGGTGGGATTCCAGCCAAGAGGATGAGAATGTACTCGTCATTTAGACAGCTGTGGACTATCAAGAGAGACGGCAGGATTTCCCGTTGAGCGCTCCTGTCAGTTTACAAATTTCTACCATTTAATTCTCATCTAATTCCCACAGTTGCCCCATGAGGTAGGAGGTATTCCCTTCTTACCAATGAATTTCAGAAGTCAAATGACTTGCCTAAGATCACCCAGTGCATCTGAGGTGGTTCTGGGATCTGACCAGGTCTTCTGGCTCCAGGCCTGGTGTGTTCCCCATATCAGCCTCGTCCTCTCTGCAGGACAAATGTTAGGTAGGGAAACTGCTCCACATACCAGTCTGGTGTGGTTTCACAATCCACAGTCCTACATGTACTCGGTAAAGTCTGAGTGTGACAGGCAGGGCGTGCTTTGTCACAAACTGAGCACAAGGCAGGGCAGGATCCTTACAGGCTGAATCTCCTTGATAGACTTATGTTTGAGAAACACAGGAACCCCCATCACCTTCCTTCAGCACCTCACAGCCAGGGGCAGGACGTGAAGGGCACTGAAGGAGGGGGGCACAATGACTGAAATTTGGGGCTGTTAGTCTTTGGGAGATGGTCAGACTGATGCAATGGGCTGAGAGCTTAGCTTGGAGCTAGAGCTTCAGCCCCTCCAGTTTTCTGTGAAAACTCCTGGGACAGACATCTTCAGGACATTTTGATGCTGAGACTGTTTAAGCTTAGCTACCTGTATACAGAGAAATCCTTTCCCAGAAGCTTCAAAGCTCATTGCTTTGGTGACAATCCTCCTCCTTTACAAAAGAGGACAGCAGCCTAGAATTACCTACTGTGTTAGGCTCCCTTAATGTTTTCATATGTGATTTGCACCCCGATCCTCACACCTTCTGTCCTATTTTCTCCAGTTCAAGGGGTTAGGTGAATCCAAACTGTTTCTCATTAGGAAAAGGCTCTACACCTTCACTTTAACTCTCTAAGCCCATGGAGAAAGTGAATAATGGAATACACAAAATAAGTATGTTCCATTATCATGGGCCTTGGCCTTTGCACACCAGTAAGGTAACTCCCAGATCATGCTAGGAAGAGCCAAAAGGTAAATAAATCTTGCAATTCAATCTATTTCTGGTGGTTTTATGCAGAGAAAGTTGATATAATAGAATAAATTTAAGAATTAGTGTTCTTTGAAATAGGAAAGCAATGGAACCTCTCTTCTCCTGGGCTGTGATGGACTGTGCCTTACACACAAAGAGAAGCTCTGCCCTCCTTGGCTGTTTCCTAGCTTTCTTTTGCAGGTTTTTGGTCAAACACCAATGTATACAGTTGAAAATTCGCAGTGGAGCTTGTGGCCAGAAATTCCTTCTGACACAGTGAGTAAAATTCTTGACTGGCAGAGGGTTTGGGGTGGAGGAAGAGGAAGCTGTATTTGAAATGGGAATTGGGAGAAGGAGGAAAGAGGAAGTCCAGAGAATGACTAGGGAAGAAACTGTAAAGCAGATGAATAGAACAAATAGCATCAAGCCAGGTAGACATTTCTTTGTTTCTTTTTTCTTTCTTCTTTTTTTTTTTTTTAATGTTTTTACTTCTTGGGCAAACAATTGCCAGTGAATTCTTTCCTTTATATTCCAATCCCTAGTAAGCAAATGGAATTCATCTCTCGTGTCCACTGTGATTGTTGGCTAGTAGATGCTTGGAGTGCTGTCCTGAAAGGGACCTTGAGGGCACATCTATGCAAGAAAGAGTCTGGGAATTGATTGGCAATGTCTGCCATGGCTGGGGGATAGGAAGTAGCAGCCCATGGGCCACATAGTGATTATCAGATATGCATTATCAGGTACAGATAAAGCTAACATGCCACCCTGCAATTTCTTTCTTTCTTTCTTTCTTTTTTTTTTTTTAGAAACAGAGTCTCGGCTCGGTGCCTGTGGCTCAAGTGGCTAAGGCGCCAGCCACATACACCTAAGGTGGCAGGTTCGAATCCAGCCCAGGCCCACCAAACAACAATGATGGCTGCAACCAAAAAATAGCTGGGTGTTGTGGTGGGCGCCTGTGGTCCTAGCTACTTGGGAGGCTGAGGCAGGAGACTCGCTTGAGCCCAGGAGTTGGAGGTTGCTGTGAACTGTGATGCCATGGCACTCTACCCAGGGGGACAGCTTGAGGCTCTGTCTCAAAAAAAAAAAAAGAAAAGAAAGAAAGAAACAGATTCTCATCACAGCAACCTCCAACTCTTGGGCTTAGGCAATTCTCTTGCCTCAGCCTCCCTAGTAGCTGGGACTACAGGCGCCTGCCACAACGCCTGGCTATTTTTTTGTTGCAGTTTGGCTGGGGCTGTGTTCGAACCCACCACCCTCAGAATATGGGGCCCGGCGCCCTACTCACTGAGCCACAGGTGCCGCCTACTCTGCAATTTCTAATGACAGCTCAATCATTCTCCTCCAGAGGCATGATTTTTTTTTTTTTAAGCGAGTCTCTTACCTCAGCCTCCCAAATAGCTGGGACTACAGGCACCCACCATAATGCCTGGCTATTTTGTTGTTCTTATTGTTGCCATTGTTGTTTTAGCATTGTCAGGGCTGGGTTCGAACCCTGCCAGCCTCGACATATGTAGCCCACTGTGCTACCCAGAGAGGCATGTTTTCTTCCCAATCTTCTTTTTTTTGTTATGTCTTTTTTCCCTTTTTCCTCGTCTGCTGCCTTTGTCTTCTCCCTTCCCCCCTTCCTGTTCTACTTTTCTACTATGTAGACTGTAGAACTACCAATGGCTTCCCTATGTCCTACTAGCACTCTCAGTCCTGCTCACAACAAGGTTTGAGTACTGGAGAGCTGAGAGGACACACCCTACTCTGACTCTTATATTTGGTTTTCTTAGGTTAATTGGGAAACTTAAAATTTTTAAATTTTTTTCTTCCTTCTCTGGTGGCTTGATCTCTTAGGGCTCCATCTAATAACTTAATGATTTTATATGTGAAACTTTGTGTGTTCTTGTACAATGCAATCGATATGGGTTAGGAGCTTATGAGAAATTATGAGTGGGTTTACAAACAAGCAAGTTGAAGAGTGTTAGGACCTGCCACCACAAACCCAAATCTCTTCTGCTTCTCTTCTCTCAAGCAGAAAACTTACATTTTTCTTTAACAACTTCACCCAGGAATAAGGGAGAATTTTTTTTTTTTTCCTTTTTGAGACTCTGTCACCCTTGGTAGAGGCCTGTGACTTTATAGCTCATAGCAACCTTAAACTCTTGGGCTCAAGCAATCTTACTGCCTAAGCCTCTCAAGTAGCTGAGACTGTAGGTACCCCTGCCACAAAGCCCAGCTATTTATTAGAGATGGGGTCTCCCTCTTGCTTAGGCTGGTATTGAACTCCTGAGTGATTCATCTGCCTCAGCCTTCCAAAATGCTAAGATTCTAAGTGTGAGCCACCATGTCCAAGAGGAAGAATTTTTGATGTGAGATCAAGCTTTTTATTTTCTACTAATCTATTCTTTTCTTCAGAAGTCTCAGACAAAGTTTTTGCTCTCCTTAAATATTATTTTTTTAGATACTGCTTTTAATGCACATACCTTTCTTGGCCAGATACTGCAATGTGAAATGATTTATTGCCTCTTAGTAAGCTGTATTTCCTAGCAACTCAGTTCTGTTTATCTTTTCTGTTTCTATTTTTTTACTTACTCTAGGTTGCCAAGTACAAAGGATTATTGACCTGGTTGGAGAAATATCGGTTACCTTTCTTCTGTAAAACAAACTTGTGTTTCCATTATATTCTCTGTCAGGAGCTTATCAGTTTTATTAAATCCCCAGAAGGAGGTAAGCACTGGGTTGTGTGCACATGTACACATGTGTGAAGAAAAGTGGGAGGTCACATTTTATAATGAGCCTATGCCTGTCAATCTTATATAGAAAAGTAAAAATACTGGCTACATTTGTAGATATGTGGGTGGCATTAAGGACTAGTACATTCAAAAACAATTGAATATAGCATTGACATAAAGTTTGTGTGGAATTTACTATGTTAGACTATATTAAATTGCACATGAACTTTATGTCTATCATGTATATGGAAAAAATAAGAAAGTGACCTCCTATGCCTAGGAAAAGATGCAAGATCAGAAAAGACCTGAAGAAACCTAATTTCATATCTCAGTCCAGTCCTGGCACAGAGACAGCTTACAACAATAAAAAACACCAGGCTTGGTGCCTGTAGCTCAGCAGCTAGGGTGCCAGTGGTATATACCTGGGCTGGTGGGTTCGAACCCAGCCTGGGCCTGCCAAACAACAACAACAACTCCAACCAAAAAAAAAGCCAGGCATTGAGGCAGGTGCCTGTAGTCCCAGCTACTTGGGAGGCTGAGGCAAGAGAAGCGCTTAAGTGCAAGAGTTTGAGGTTGCTGTGAGCTGTGACACCACAGCACTCTACTGGGGGCAATACAGTGAGACTCTGTCTCAAAAAAATTAACAAAAACAAAAAGTAAACTCTGGGGAAAGAGAAAAATATGATTTCCAGAGTTACCACATTATTAGATTCAAATGTCCAGTTTTTAACAAAAAAATCACCAAGCACATAAAGAAACAGAAAAGTATGGCTCATTTTAAGGGAAAAATAAATCAAAGGGAACTGTCCCTGAAAAAGATTAATAACAGATCTACTAGACAAAGACTTTAAAACAACTGCCTTTTTCTTAGGTGCTTATTTTAAAAAGTAAGACTACCTTAAAGATGCTCAAAGAAACAAAAGAAGGTAGACAAAGTCTAGAAAGTTATAGGTGAAGAAAATAGAAATAGCAATAAGGAGAAAGCCTAAAAAAAAAAACTCAAAATAAAATTTAGACCTATAACTGAAGTGAAAAATTTATTAGAAGGATTCAAAGGCAGATTTAAAAAGGCAGAAGGAAGAATTGATGAACCTGAAGGTAGGGCAGTGGAAATAATAAAATCTGAGGAACAGAAAGAAAAAAGATTGAAAAAAAAGTGAGCAGAACAATAGGGACCTGTTAGACACCATCAAGCAGCCCAACACACATTGTGGAAATGCCAGAAAGAGAAGAGAGAAAGAAAGGGGCAAAAAGAATATCTGAAGGAATAATAGCTGAAAACTTCCCAGGTTTGGTAAAAGACTTAATATAAACATTGAAAAGAAGTTCAATGAACACTAAGCAAGATGAACTCAAAGAAATCCACACCAAGACACATTATGATCAAACTCTTGAAAGCCAAAGATGGAGAAAAAATGTTAAAAATAGTAAGAGAGAAGCAACTTATCACTTTACAAGGAGTCCTTCTAAGATTATAACCAGTTTTTTCATCAGAAGCTTTGGAGTACAGAAGGCAGTAGGCTGATATATTCAAAGTCATAAAAGTAAAGCCAAACAAAACAAATTAACCACGAATTCTATATTCAGCAAAACTGTCTTTCAAAAGTAAGGGCAACATTTCCAGATAATGAAAACCCTGGGAGCTGCCCTACAACAAATGCTCAAGAGAGTCCTGCCAAGTGAAATCAAAGGACATTAGATAGTAACCCGAAGCCATATGAAAAAGTAAAGATCTCAATAAAAGTAGACAAATAGGCAAATAAACAAAAAGGCAACTATAAAAGCTAGAATTACTGCAACAGTGATTCATAATTGCACTTTTTCTTTCTACAGTGGTAAGGCAATTACATTTGTGACTTATCCTAGAGAAAGTGCTACATATCTCATTGGAGAATATCACTTACAGTCACCTTCAAAATACTCCCCTTGGGAAGCCATGCACTGACACCAGCACCTAGTCCACCCTTCAAAGCCATTTTGGAACTCTTTTTCTGGAATGGCTGTCAGAGCTGTTGTCATACAAGGGAGGTCTAACAATTAAGTTTGCAAACTCATTCTAGTGAAAGTGATTCAGTGGGTGGAATAGGTACTGGTGTTGATGCATAGCTCCTGGAGAGGAATATTTTAAAGGAGACCGACCATAAGTGATGTTTAGCAATGAGGTATGCGGCACTTTTCCTAAGATTAATTCCTGAACTTAATTGCCTTACCTCATACATGGTTTGAGAGACTAATACATTTTTTAAAAGAATAATTATTAGTCTAACTAGTATTTTCTTAACTTAGAACAATTACATTTTGTTTTCCACATAATTTATTTTATTTTTTATTTGTTTATTATTATTATTATTTTGAGACAGAGTCTCACTATGTTGCCCTCAGTAGAGTGCTGTAGTGTCACAGCTCACAGCAACCTCAAACTCTTGGGCTTAAATGATTCTCTTGCCTTAGCCTCCTGAGTAGCTGGGACTACAGGCACCCACCAGAATGCCCAGCTATTTTCTTGTTGCAGTTGTCATTGTTGTTTAGCTGGCCTGGGCTGGGCTGGAACCTGCCAGCTTCAGAGCATATGGATGGCTCTGTAACCACTGTGCTACAGGCACCACGCCTGTTTTCCACATAATTTAAAGAGACTAGTGTATATTACCAAGTTATTAGTTTATGTTTGGGGACACACAAAGTATAAGAATGTAATTTTGTGACATCAGTGACCAAAAATAGTGGATATGGAACTGTTAAAGGAGCAAAGATTTTTGTGTTATTGAAGTTAGCTGGTACAAATTCAACTTAGAGTGTTATAAACTAACAATGTTAAATGTAATCCCCATGGTAACTGCAAAGAAAACAGCTACACAATATACACAAAAAAAGAGAAAGGAATAAAAAGAAAAGAAGGCCATGAAGGTGGCTCATGCCTGTAATCTTAGGACACTGGGAGGCTGAGGCAGGTGGATTGCTTGTGCTCACAGGTTCAAGACCAGCCTGAGCCAGAGCGAGACCTCATCTCTAAAAATAGCCAGGCATTGTGGTGGGCACCTGTAGTCCCAGCTACTTGGGAGGCTGAGGCAAGAGAATCACTCAAACCCAAGAGTTTGAGGTTGGTGTGAGCTATGATGCCACAATACTCTATTGAAGGCAACAAAGTGAGACTCTGTCTCAAAGAAAAAAAAAAAGCCAAGAAAGGAATTTAAATGCTTTACTACAAAAATCAACTAAACACAAAAGAAGATAGTAATGGTGGTAATAAAGAATAAAAACCTGTAATGTGTATAGAAAACAAATAGCAAAATGACATAAATCTCTCATTATTAGTAATTATATTTAATGTAAATGATTAAACTGTTACAAAGACAGATTGGCAGAATAAAATTTAAAAACAAGATCCCATTATATGCTGTCTCTAAGAGGCTCATTTTAGATCAAAAGACAAATTAATTGAAAGTGAATAGATGAAAAAGATAGACCATTCAATAGTAATCTAAAGAGAATAGAGGTGCCTATAGTAATACCAAACAAAACAGACATTTTAGATAGTTTATATGAGACAAAGAGACACATTATATATTACTGCAAGAGTCAACACAGCAAGAAGATATAACAATTATAAACATTTCTATAAGTAATGACAGGCCATCAATATATATGAAGCAAAGGCAGGCATAGTGGCTCATGCTATAATCCTAGCACTCTGGGAGGCCAAGGCAAGAGGATTACTTGAGCTCAAGAGTTCAAGACCAGCCTGAGCAAGAACAAGGCCCCATCTCTACTAAAAAATAGAAAAATTATCTGGGTGTGGTAGTGTACACCTGTAGTTCTAGCTGTTCAGGTGGCTGAGGCAGGAGGACTGCTGGAGCCTAGGAATTTGAGGTAGCTTTGAGCTAGGCTGACATGATGGCACTCGAGCCTGGGGCAAGAGAGTGAGATTCTGTCTATATATAGTATATGTGTGTGTGGGTATGTATGAAGCAAAACCCAACAGAACTGAAGGAAAAATAAACAATTTTACAATAATAATTGGACATTTTACTACCCCACTATTAACAATGAATAGCATAAAAAGAAGATAAGTAAGAAAACGCAGGACTTAAACAATACAATAAAACAACTATATTTAAAAGACATATACAGAACACTCTACCCAACAATAGCATACACAATCTTCTCAAGTACATATGAGACATTTTGTTGTTGTTGTCATTGTTTTTTTGGTTGGGGCTGGGTTTGAACCTGCCACCTCTGGCATATGGGGCTAGTGCCCTACTCCTTTGAGCCACAGGCAATGCCCACATATGGGATATTTTTGAGGATACACTATGTTAGGCCATAAATTAAATCCCAATACATCTTTTTTTTTTTAAGAGACAGAGTTTCACTTTATTGCCCTCAGTGAAATGCCATGGCATCACACCTTACAGTAACCTCCAGCTCTTGGGCTTAGGCAATTCTCTTGCCTCAGTCTCCTGAGTAGTTGGGACTACAGGCACCGCCATAATGCCTGGCTATTTTTTTTGTTGTAGTTTGGCCAGGGCGGGATTTGAACCCACCACTCTCAGTATATGGGGCCAGCACCCTACCCACTGAGCCACAGCTGCCACCCTAAATCCCAATACATCTTAAAGTATTTCATACAGAATATCTTCTCTAACCCATAACAGGATGAAGGTTAGAAATAAGTAACAGAAGTAAAACTAAAAAATTCCCAAAATTGTGGATACTAAAGAACACAGTATTTTGCAATAAATGGATCAAAAAAGAAATCACAAAGGAAATTAAAAGATATTTAGAGATGAATGAAAATGAAAATACAATATACCAAAACTTATAGGATACAGTAAAAGCAGTTCCGGGGAAAAATAATAGCTATAAATGCTTACATTACAAAAAGAAATATTTCAAACAACATAACATTACAACTTAAGAAATTAGAAAAGAGAGAATAAACTAGCCCAAAGCTAGCAAAAGGAAAGAAATGAGAACAAATATCAATGAAATTAA